TGGGAAGAAGCCCGTTGGGCACACACACCAGCCCCTGCAAAGGCTTTGAAACCGGAATCACCTGGATGTGTTCACAGACCAAAGGGAGAGGAAGAAATAAGTGAGTGGAATTCTGGCAGGGAAGGGAGTGAAAAGAGCCAGCTGGGAACAAGGAAGTGAAATGAGCCAATTGGGAACAAGGGAGTGGGCAAGCAGTGCCCCATCCATGCCTGCAGCTGTCTCCAAGCTCTGGAAGTCCAGTGGTCTTGCCATGGGTAGGGGTAGGGAGGCATAGTGGGGATCTTGTGGTGGACACCAGCTTACAGTGGCAGCTAAAGTACAGTGTGTGTGTGGGGGGGAGATGACCTGTCTCTTTCCAATGGATGGAGCCCAAAAGAAAGAGTGAGTGCTTGACAGACGGAAGCCTGGCTCAAGGGTAGCAGAGCCTGGTCCAATGCACCACCCCACCCCACAGGGCTACAGAGCCCCAGCCCGGCCACCTCCCAGCCCCAGCTGGACCTCCAGCCTGAGGCCCTCTTCTGCTTGAGAGCACACAGAGCCTGCACCTCACACAGCTGTCACTTTACACTGATTGCATCACCAAGCTCCAGGGATTGACGGAATACCCATTGAAGTGTCTCAACAAACGGATATCACACTGGAGGCACTTACTCATTTATGCCAGGAAATTTGGAAGATAGCTACTGGCCAACTGACTGGAAGTTGTTGTTGTTGTTAGGTGCCATTGAGTCGTTTCTGATTCATAGCGGCCCCATGCACAGCAGAACGAAACACTGCCCGATCCCATGCCAGCTCCACAATCCCTGCTATACATGAGCCCATCATCGCAGCCACCATGTCTATCTCGTTGAAGGCCTCCCCCTCTTTCGTCGACCCTCCACCCTACCAAGCATGACATCCTTCTCCAAGGAATGGTCCCTTCTGACAACATGACCAAAATAGGTGAGACGAAGTCTGGCCATTCTTGCTTCCAAGGAGCATTTTGGGTGCACTTCCTCCAGGACAGATCTGTTAGTTCTTTTAACAGTCCATGGTACTTTCAGCATTCTTCACCAGCACCACAACTCAAAAGCATCAACTCTTTTTCAGTCTTCCTTATTCATTGTCCAGCTCTCATAGGCATACAAGGCAATTGGAAATATCATGGCTTCTGTCAGGCTAACAACTGACTGGAAGAGATCCATATTTATGCCCATTCCAAAGAAAGGTGATCCCAAAGAATGTGGAAATTATCAAAAAATATCATTAATATGACGCACAAGTAAAATTTTGCTGAAGATAACTCAGAAACAGTTGCAGCAGTATATTGACAGGGAACTTCCAGAAATGCAAACTGGATTCAGAAGAGTACGTGGGATGAGATATATCGTTGCTGATGCTAGATGGATCTTGGCTGAAAGCAAAAAATACCGGGAAGATGTTTACTTGTGTTTTATTGACTATGGAAAAGCATTTTATTGTGTGGATCATAACAAATTATGGATAACATTGAGAAGATTGGGAATTCCTGAACACTTAATTGTGCTCATGAGAAACCTCTACATAGACCAGGAGGCTGTCATTCAAACAGAACAAGGGGACACTGCATGGTTTAAAATCAAGAAGGGTATGTGTTAAGGTAGTATCATTTCATCATACTTATTCAATCTGTATGCTGAGCAAATAATCTAAGAAGCTGGACTATGTGAAGAAGAACGTGGCATGAAGACTGGAGGGAGATTCACTGACAATGTGTGATATACAGATGACACAACCTTGCTTGCTAAAAGAGAAGGTAACTTGGAGCACTTACTGATGAAGAGTAAAGACTACAGCTGTCAGTATGGATTACACCTCAACATAAAGAAAATGAAAATCCTCACAACCGGGTGGATAAGCAGCAGCATGATAAATGGAGAGAAGATGGAAGTTGTCAGGGATTTCATTTTATTTGGATCCACAATCAACATTCATGGAAGCAGCAGTCAAGAAACCACACGTTACATTGCATTTGACAAATCTGTTGCAAAAGACCTCTCTAAAGTGTTAAGGAGCAAAGATGTCACTTTGAAGACTAAGGTGCACTTGACCCAAGCCATGGCATTTTCAATGGCTTCATATGTATGTGAAAGTTGGACAACGAATGAGAAAGACTGAAGAAGAGTTGATGTCTTTGAATTGTGGTGTTGGCAAAGAATATTGAAAATAGCATGGACCCCCAGAAGAACAAACAAATCTGTCCTAAAAGAAGTGGAGCCAGAATGGCCAGGCTTTGTCTCATCTACTTTGGTCATATTCTCAGAAGGGACCAATCCCTGGAGAAGGATATCATGCTTGGTAAAGTGAAGGGTAAATGAAAAAGGGGAAGGCCCTCAGCAAGATGGATTGACCCAGTGGCTGCAACAATGGGCTCTAGCGGAGCAGGCACTGAGAGAATGCTGCAGAACCAGGCAGTATTTTCGTTCTGTTGTACGTAGGGTCACCATGAGTCGGAGCTCAATCAGCGGCACCTCACAACAACATCACAACAATCATCATCGCTAGCACCCCTCTCCCTTCCTCAGGGTGAGCTCTGTGAGGGAAAGGCCCAAGGACCCAAGGCCTAGCACAGAACTTGTGTGATGGGTGCTGTGCTTAGTACATCTCAGTGGTGGATGGATGGATGAATTCGCATGAGGGAAAAGAGAAGGATATAAAGACTTTCAAAGGGATGGTGGAAAACAGCCAATGACTACTGTGGGTCCTGCCTGCTGCCTCTCAGCTCAACACTCACAGGTGTCCAGCTGGCTGTTGGCACTGATGGGAGCTGGCAAGGTGTCAGGAGGGAGTGGCTGGTGAACACAAGCCCTCAGGCTTGACAGCAGCAGCTCAGTGGTAGGTCCACCCCAGCTAGGGTCCCACACATTCCTCTGGGGATGGCATGACTTGGACTAACTTCACCTTATCCTTCCCTTGTGCTTCTCCCATCCTTCTAACAGCAGAGTGACCGATTTCCCATGTTCAGTCCCCTGTGTTTGATATACCTGGAGTGGGTTCTTTGCTACTGGCTCCCAGGTCAGCATCTTTTTTGACCTCCAGACAAGCTACCAGACAAGTGCTGTCAGTGAGATCAAGGAGCTGAGCTGAGTTGCCAGGGGCTGGAGTAACTCACTAAGACAATGAGCCCAAGTGGAAGTAACAGCCAAGCCTCTAATCACTAAGTGATATAGAATAATGGGTGTTGGAGGGTATCAGCTCTACCCCTCCACTGGTCTTCCTGTCGATGGAGCCCTGAACAAAAGACTCCAGTGGGGGTGGAGGTTCTAGGAATAGATATGGACTGAGTACTGAGTTACTGGGGAAAAGTGTGTTCAAAGTCCCCTACCCCCCAGTATGGGGGTTTCAGCAAAGGTGCCTGAGGAAGGCTGAAGCTGAAACCCCCCAACGAAGAGGCCTCGGGATGGAAGGGCCCAGGCTAGGAATGCAGGTATGATAGAGCGTGTGGCGGCCAGCAGGGGCAATGAGCCCATGGCTGCAGGTTCCTGGGAGACGCAGTACATGGCCATGTGCCAGTCTGCTTGGGCAATGTTCCCCTGAGACCCACCAGGCAGAGCCTTGTAACTGCCTGTGGTCAGTCCAGAAAGGTCACATGTAGGGTTCTGGCCAGCAGTCACACTCCTCAGATGACCAAGGAAACAATAAGCACAGCCTTGCTCTCCAGAAGCTGATGGTCCCACAGTTCAAGGCCATCGCTGCCGCCTTCATAGCTACGCTGCAGAGGGCACGCCCACATCTACCCCAATCACATGGCAGGGCAGGACAGTCCCACAGGCATGTGTGGAGACACTTCCAAAGTGCTAGGCTCTTGCGGACATGCCATGAAGATACAGCTATCAGGTAACTCCTACCCTCTAGACCCATGACCATTGTGCCTTCTGACTCAGAGCAGAGAGATGGTGCACTTGGGCCCAGGTTCTACTTCCTTTGGGTCTTTCTCATCTGTGGGAGGGGCTTCTTTGTGGAGTTTGGATTTGAGATCCTGAACAGGAGCTGCCTGGCACAGGCAGGTACACTGGGTGTGTTCCACCAAAGGGCTCAGGTGAAGGCTGTGGTAGCTGACTCGACTGCTCAGAAGGGGGCCTGCATACAGCAGGTGCTCTGTGAATGCTGCTCCTGGTGATGACACAGCTCACAGAGGACCCTGGGGGCAAGGAGAAGGAGGGGTGGTATTGGCACCTCTCTCCCAAGGCCAGGGGTTTTGATGTGGCCCTAGGCCTGGGGCTCTGACTTGCCATGGGGTGTGCGATCAAGTCCATGGAGAGCTTGGGACTGCCAGCCTGGTGGGCAAGCTTCCTGCAACAGGCTCTTGACCTGGGCCAGAAGCTTCCTGGCGCAAGGAGGCAGACCCCAAGCCCCATCCCCCACTGCCTCTGTCTGGGTTCAGCCTGTATTGGCGGTCCTCACACACACACACACACACCAGCTACCTGGGACCCCCACCGAGGATGGAGTGTGCTTATAGGGTCACTGCATTGTCTCCTTCCCTTTCCTTTCCTTATGTCCTTCAAGTTTGGAAGTTTAAGGACAAATCCCTCCCCTCCTTTCTTCCCCTCTCTGAGGGTTCTTTAAAGACTTTTTGTGGCCAACCGCTGAAGTGGGTGCTAACCCCACAGATGGCCGGGGTCCTGCAGGGCCTAGGGCAGGGGAGCCCCTCTGAGGCCACAATGCGGGAGCAGCTCTAGAACTCTCCATTCTAGAACCCCCCCCCAGATTCCCCAGAGCTGGCTTTCCCCTTGCCAGTCCACACTGTGTGAAGCCCCCCCATCCTGAGCTGCCATCCCTGGTTGGTCTCTGCCGCAGCCCCAGAAGTCTCCAGAGCCTTGGGTGCTCCCTACAAAGGGGCACAGGCCCCACCTGGCCCCAGCCCAGCCACCCGCTGCCCCTTGAGCACAAGCGAGGCGTCAGCTTTGCCCCCGCTGGCTCCCCCCATGGCCCATGGTAAGCTGGACCTCCATGCTCCAGTCTTTGAGCCCCCACCTCCCATGAAGGGCAGCTGCAGGCGCCGGCCGGACCAGCGGGCCTTCATGGAGCAGGTGCGGGAGTGCCGGGACAAGGGCTACCTGCTCTCCTCCAAGAAGATTGGCTCGGGCACCTTCTCCAAGGTCTACCTGGCCTACGCTACAAATGAGCGCCTACAACACAACCCCAAGCTGTCCTCTGACCTGCGGGGCAAACGCCACACCATGGTGAGGCCTCCCACCCCTCAGCCTGGCCCAGGTTTCCCTCCCACACTGGCTCAGGCACCTGCAGCACTCCCTCCTCCTGCCCTACCCTGCATCCTCCCAGATGGCAGCCTAGTCCCCCAACAGCTCCCACAGGCCACACACCCCGGGTCCCGCACCCCTTGAGCACAGTGCTGAGGGGAGAGGCAGACCGAGACTGAGGGAGGCTGCTGCTGCCCAAGCCCCATAATATGCAGGGAGGACGCAGCAGCTCTGCCTCAAGGGGCCATGGTTGGCACACAGCAGCCACCCCTCCTGCAGGTGGCCATCAAGATTGTCTCAACAGCCAACGCCCCTGTGGAGCTCTCCCACAAGTTCCTGCCCCGTGAGATCTCATCCCTCAATGCCACCTACAAGCACCTGAACGTGGTAGGCAGAAGCCCCGGGAGAGCCCACTCCCCAGCTGGCTGGGGGCTGGCCCTGTGCTGAGGTGACGAAGGTGGGTGGGGCGTCCGGCAGGTGCAGCTGTACGAGGCATTCCGCAACAGCCAGCGCTCCTACCTGGTGCTGGAGCTGGCAGCCCGCGGAGACCTGCTAGGGCTGGTGAACACGGCGTCGGAGCGCCGCGGCTGCCCTGGGCTGGAGGAGGAGGAGGCCAGAAGGCTGTTCTGGCAGCTGGTCAGCGCCGTGGCACACTGCCACAGCTCAGGCATTGTGCACCGGTGAGGGCCCACATGGCAAGGCCACCAAGCTCCAGGCCAGCCCCACCTCCCCGCCCCCACGCAGGGACCCCAGCCCCACCTCCCGGCCCCCACGCAGGGACCCCAGCCCCACCTCTTCGCAGGGACCTGAAGTGTGAGAACATCCTGCTGGGTGCTGGAGGCCTCCTGAAGTTGACAGGTGAGTGGAAACCCTCTGCTGTCACCTTCAGCAAAGTAGGGCTCCAGCTTCAGCCCTAAAGAGGCCAGACTCTTGTCCTCAGCCCAACCCTCCCAGGAGGCCTACACCACACCCTCATCTACAGCAGAGCCCTAGGCCCAGGCCCCTTCCCCAGCCACCCTCTTGCTGTCCCCACCACGCCCCCCCATCCTTCTGGACTGAAACAGCCTCCTGAGCCACTCTCCTGCACCCTGCCCCTTTCCCACTCCCTCCCACCCCCTCAGACTTCGGCTTTGCCCACCCCTCGGGCCTCAAGAACCAACTGCTAAGCACCTTCTGCGGTTCCGTGGCCTACACGGCCCCCGAGATCCTCAAGAGCAGGAAGTACAGCGGGGAGCCGGCCGACCTGTGGAGCCTGTGAGTGCCGCCCCAGGGCACCCCACGGCGGAGCCCCCGGAGGGGGAGGGGCGCGCCCTGAGGAGCCCGTGCCTCCAGAGGCGTCATTCTCTACGCCATGGTGACCGGGAAGCTGCCCTTCAAGGAGCGCCAGCCCCACTGCATGCTGTCCCTGATGCGCCGCGGCCCCACCTTCCCACCTGGCCTGTCCCCAGGTGAGCCCGCCACCTGTGCCCCACCCAAGGTCTAGAATGAGGGGCCTGGGCCGCGGAGGGGTCACCCGGCTGGGCGGGGTGGCTCAGGTGGACATCTCCGCACAGCACCTTGGGACGGGGAAGGTGGGCCAGGGGACGAGGGCCTGCCTGCTCTTAGCTCCCCTGAGCTCAAACCCAAGCTCCGCCGCCGGCCGGCCTCCCTGTGCCTCAGTCCCACCGAGACTGGAGGAGGCGGCCCGCGCAGCCTGTCCGGGCAGCTGGGATGACCCTTCCCAGCTGCCCGTGCTGTTGGCGGTGACCCGCGCGCGCAGGCCGGCGTGGCGGCGTGGCGCAGCCGTGACCCTCGCCCTTAGAGTGCCAGGACCTAATCCGCGGCCTGCTCCAGCTGCGCCCCCGCGCACGCCTCCACCTGCAGCAGGTGGCCGCGCACCCCTGGATGCTGCCCGCCGCGCACGCGCTCTTCCGCAACCTGCCAGGCGCCGCGCCAGGTGCGGGGTCGGACCGCCGGGACCGGGTGGGTGGGCTGGCCCTCTGCTCCCGCCTGACCCCGCGGTCGCCCGCTGCAGAGACGCTGACGGAGTCCAAGCTCCCGGCGGCCACGGGCGACGCGGAGCCAAACAAGGACTCGGAGCTCCGAAGACCACTCCTGGAGCTGCGGCGCCCCCAGCGGCCAGGCGCCCCCCTGGCGTGTAACCCAAGTTCGGCGCCTGCCTTCGGGGCGCCCAGGGCGCCCGAGGCCCACCTGAGAAGAGGGGCGGCCTCCGCCGGGCTGGGGCTGCTTAGCGCAGAGGCGACCAGCGCCTCCAGGCAGACCATGTCGCTGTGCTCCGTGACTGTCACCCCCAAAGGGCCAAGGCACTACCGGGTCATTTGAGGAGCGGGGCGGGACCAGGACCAGGTGAAATAAAGCGTTTATTCTGTTGAAGTGTAGAGGCCTCCATGCTGCCTAGGACACAGGAACCCTCTGGTGTCTCCCCGGAACCCCTCATGGGGGAAGCCGACCCCAGACCACCACACTGGCCTAGAGTGCCAGAACTTTAATGGGGAACTGCACCTAGGTGGGCATGGAAGCAGCTGCCAGGGCCATTCTCATGGCCTTAGTTTGGGGGGGTGGAAACATAATTAGAAGGCCTGAGTCCTGGGTGGGGGTGATGGACAATCTGCACTCTGGGACCAGGGTATGGGTGCCCGGAAGGCCCACTGGTAAGGAGGTAATAGCACTTAGGGGTAGTATGCAGGTGGCACCAAGGTCCGATTGGGAAAGGCAGCAGAGTGGAGGGAGGGCCACCACAGAAGCCTGATGAACTGAAGGATGTGTGAGTGGTGCCAAGAGCCCATGGCAGGACCCAAGGGGCCACAGTGACTGGGGCCAGGGGCAAGGCCACAGGCACCAGAGAGGCCTGGCCGAAGTAGGGCGGGGGCTCTGGGAGCTGACCAAGGAGAGGGCCTAGAAGAGGGGAGAGTGAGGGAGCCAGTCCCGCAGGCTCAGGCACAAGAGGATGCGGGGACCTGGGCAGGGCTGAGTGCAAGACCCTGGGCACAGGCCCAGCGGGGGGGAGGAAGGTACAGAGGGAAACTGTGCCAGCACGTACTTCAGGCTGGGCAGGTGGGGAGTACTTCAGGCTGGGCAGGTGGGGAGCAGTGCAGGGCCCCAGGACAGGATCTACATGGGGTGGGATAGCAGGAAAGTGACACGCAGTCCACCCTGAAGCTGGGTGTCAGGCAGACAGCCTCAGGGCCCAGGATGGACTGGGGGCAGGGCTGACAGCACCAAGAGTCACTATTCCAATCCAGGGTCCTATGATGCCTTTGATATGGGGAGGCTACAGCTGGCCCCTCAGGGCTCACGGTACTTTTCTGTCCAGTCGCTCTGTGATCCATCCCCCCGCTAGCCCCATCCCAGTGCTGCTCTGATGACCTGCACCTCCTGCTGGTGGCCAAGGGGTGCAGGGCTGGAAGATACCCTCAGTACCCCCAACGTTTACTGAACATCTGCCCTACAGCCAGGGGGCTGGAGCCCTTGGCTACATGAAGCTCTACCCCTGTGCAAGCCACAAGGGTCCAGAGAGAGGCATGCAGGGAGCCAGAGGTGACCCTGGAAGTGGTGGCGGCTGCACAGGCCTCAGGGGGAGGCAGGCCGCTGCCGCTGTGGCTGTGGCGTCTGCCGCTCCTGCTCACACCGCTCCTGCTCCTGGCGGTCCAGCTGCTGTAGCCGGTGCTCCAGCTCCTCGGGCACCTGCACCTCCAGCAGGTTTCCCATGCCACACTCCGGCTCATCCCCAATGAGCACCTGCTGACAGCGGAGGCAGGTGAGCCGCTGGCTGGCATGGGAAGCCCTCCCCCCAGTGCTGCACCCACCTGGATGAGCTTCTCACAGGTCACCCGAACGGCGGGCTCGGGCTCCCAGCTGTGCAGCTCCCGAAGGACCAGGTAGGCGCCCTGGTCCCGTACCTGCCGCCGACCTGCCGCTGTGGCTGTCAGCTAGGAAGAGGAGGGGTCACCCAGAAGTCAGAGTGTGTGGGGGGTGGGGGTGGCACTATGGTAGCAGGACGCCTGCTCACCAGCATGACGGCCTCAATGAGCATCTTTCTGATGTCGGCATCGGGCTCACGCTGCTTGTCTGGAGGCAGGTACTGCAGGTCCACAGGCAGCCCTAGGGGCAGGTGTGAGAACTACTGGGTGCTGGGCTGAGCCCTGCATTAAACTCCCTTCCGGTAGGAGTCAGAACCCTGGGTCTGGGCACTGCCCCTCTGCAAGGCCCCCCCTGAGGATCAACCCAAACCACTCACGCTCCATCTCCTCCTCTGAGAAGTCCTCAGGGCCCGCCAGAGGCAGTAGCAAGAACGGGAGAATATCCACTTCCGAACCTAGCAACCACTCGTGGTGTCCTAGAAGAAAACCAGGGATGTGTTTTGTCTAGAGCTGTCGCCGAACCCAGTCCCCACCCCGGAAACGCCCCCAGCGCCACTCACGGTGCTCGAAGCAGCAGTTCCGCAGCGTCCCCACCACTCCGCCCCTGCGCACCGACGAGTCTGGGTACTGGGTAAGAGGCAGCAGCCGCTGGATGACGCACCTGGAGACAGGTGTGCTCAGTGCCGGCCGGCTCACTTCCAACCCCACCCGATGGCCTCCTCGGGCTTCACCTGTCTGGGTCCAGCAGGAAGGCGCGCGCTGCCGGCCGCTGGCTGAGGTTGGAGAGCAGCGGCCCCAAGTAATGCAGGGGCGCGCGGGCGTTGTAGCCGGGCGTGCACAGCGCGCGCACCAGGCGTTCCAGGACGGGCTCCCCCGGCTCTGGCGCCGCCAGCACCGCCATCACAGCGGCACACGGCTCCGACTCGCGGCTGAGGTTGGCTAGCGCGGCGGCCGCTTCGTCCGCCCAGGGCCACTGTGGATCCAACGCGCGGCCCAGCAGGCGGGCAGGCAGTCCGCGGTCGGCCGCCAGCAGCGGTTCGTGCAGGCCCGGGTCTGCTGCCAGGTTCACCAGCGCACGGGCGGCGTCGCAGGCCGGGGCTGGGGCCGGGGCAGCCGCCAGTTCGGCCAGCGCCCGCAGCAGAGCCGCCTGCCCCGCTAGCAGCGCGCGGCCGGGCCCGGATCCGGTCAGCGCCAACACGTGCCGCGCCGCCACCGCCTGAAGGTCCGCTCGCGCCCCCGGCGCCAAGAAGGGCAGCAGTTCTGCTGCCTCCGCCTGGGCACCAGCCTCCAGGATCGGCGAGCCTGCGATCACGACGCCGCCGTCCTCCGCTCCTCCCGGCGAGCTAGTGCCCGCCGCTGCCGCCGCCGCCGCCACCTCCATGCCGCAGGGCGGGGCGAGCCCCGGCGACCCCCGCCGGTCTGCTCCTCGCTCCTCCTCGTGGGCCGCAGCCCCGCCCTTCGAGGAGGCGGGCACCGCAGCGACCAATCCAAGGCTGCGGACTCTGTGCACTGGGCGGATAGGCGCGCTGGGGGCGGGGTTACGCCGACGTCCGAGGGATTGTGGGACTTGGCGCCCTCGCGGAAGTTGCTGATCTCGGGCTGGGCGGGACCATAAAGCAAGTCCTTACTGTCTGGCGTCCTTCACTCCCCGCCCGCCGTAACTGCTTTCTCTGGGACACCCCTGGGACGGACTGGTGTGCCAATCTAAGCCCGTTGTCCTAGGTTACAAGGTCCAGAGGCTCCCCTCGTCCCCTCCTGAACCTGCACACCATGCCCGCGTGGTCTGGCCTGGGTGCGTCTCCACTAGCACCAGAGAAAACTTGGTTCCCACCCAGGCCAGATCAGAATGTGTTTCCTGGGCTCGGTTGACGGTGGTTTCTTGGTCAGTGGCCTCTGGGCGCTTGAGAGCTTTAAGGTCTCTACCTCAGCTCCCCGACCCTGGCCGGCCCACGGAAGCAGGGCACACCTGGTGAGTGAATGAATGAATGAGGGTGTGGTCCGCGGGTCCTCCTGGGAAGACGGTCCCGCCTTTGTCTTCTGGGCTGCTGCAGCCACCTTGACCTTGGTGCCGACCACCAGGGAGCCGGGCAGTGTGAGCGGGGATATTGGACCGAATAGGACCCAGAGTGAGGACTGAGGAGGTAACTTTGGGTGGGTCTCTGGGATCTAGGAGGGGGTGGCTTTGGGCATTTGTCAAGACTTCGTCAGTTGCAGTGACAGACACCCAATTCAGAATGCCTTTTCCACTCCTAGGAAGATCATAAATGCACCTGCATAGCCAGGAGGTCCAGAGGGGCCCCTGGCTTCAGGCATTGCTGGATCCCAGAGCACTGCCAAGCTCTGGGCTGTCTCTACCCTTCCGTCGCCCCTGCTTCTCTGCTGCCGTGTCACTTGTGCCTACTGCTGGTGGATTTTCTGAGCACAGCTGGGAAAGATGGGCACTGGCACTTCCTGGCTACATGGTCTTAGCAGAAGGTGGTTTCTGTCCTCCAGTGTTTGGACATCTGTCCCAGCGAGGAACACCACTCAGTTCTACCTGTCCTCCACCAGGTCCACTACTGTGGGTGGAGCAACCACTCTCTAGACACACCAGGACTCCTGTGGAGAAGGAGGCACAAAGGGAGGCATTCACTCCTGGACAAACCTTTTTAGGGTACCTGTCATATGCCAACTGGTTGCTCAGGACACAGGACAAGACAGAAGATGGTTCTGGATCTTCCCTGGGCACACCAAGGCCACTTCAGCCTCAGGCCCCTTGTACTTGCTGTCTCTCTGGCTTTCTTCTTCCAGCTAGGTACAGGCTGGCCCCTTATTAACTGTTACTGTCTTCCCAGGCAACTTATCTAAAGTGGAGACTTGCCCCCCCACCACCATGGCTGCTCAGTTTCCAGCACCCTCCTTCAAGGTAACAATACCCAGCTCTCAAAGAATGATATATGATTGAATTGACAACAGCAATTCAAAAGGACAGACAAGAAGCTTCAGGGGCAGTGAGTTTGTGTGAATGATGGTGAAACAGTTTGGAAATTTGTTGGGAAAGGTGGTACAACTTAAAGCATGTTACCAATGTCCCTGAATTGTACATGAAAGAACTGCTGAAGTGCCATTTCTTTTGGTGTGTATATTTTCACCACACACACACACGTGCACAAAGGATAGCAGTACCTAGAAGAAGATTTACAGAAGATAATGAAATTTAGTTCTGGTGGTGTAGTGCCTAAGGCATTTGACTGCTAACCAGAAGGCTGGTGGTTCCAACACCAACCACTCCTTGGAAGGAAGATGGGGCAGTCTGCTTCTGTAGTGATACTGCCTCAGAAACCCAAGGAGGGGTCGCTGTGAATCAGAACTGACTCAAACGAAGCTTAAGCTTCAGGGCCCATCATTTCCATGGGTCCCTTCCAAGGCCCTAAGAACAGCCTTAGCAAAGTTTTCACATGGCTCTATGGTTTTGCAAAAGTAGGATGTAGCAGACACAGATGCCAATGGATCTAATTAAAAAAAAAAAAAAGTATTGGTGAAGATGCAGTGAGACTGGAACCCTCCAACAATGCAGGTCGGAAAGTGAAATGGTATAGCCACTGTAGGGACGTTTCCTCAGAAAGTTAAGCATGGAAATACAATAACCCTATGACCAAGCAATTCTGTACCTAGGTGGAGGATACCCAAGAGAACTCAAAACAGGTGTTTAAACAAAAAACTTGTACAGAAATGTTCAAAGCACTACTCGTAATAGCGAAAAAGTAGAGATAACCCAAGTGTCCATCAACTGATAAATGGATTACCAAAGAGGCTGTATGGATACAGTGGGATATTTTTAATTTCTGTAAAGTTGATTCCAACTCATGGTGACCACATATGTGCAGAAAGAACCGCTTCACAGGATTTGCAAGCCTGTGAACTCTGAGAAGCAGATGGCCAGGCCTGTCTTGTGAAGCACTTCTGGGTGGGTTCCAATGGCCAGTCCTTTGGTTAGTAGCCTAGTGCATAATGGTTTGTGCCACCTAGGGACCCCAGTGGACTGTCCACCCATAGACAGGAGTGAAGCTCTGATATTTGCGCCAACACAGATGAACCTTGAGAACATGGAAGGTGAAGGAGCCAGACATGAGAGGCCACAGACCGTCTGGCTGCATTTATAGAGGTGTCAAGAATGGGCAGATTCACGGGATGGTTGATGGCCACCTAGGCCTGAGGTGCAGGGGTGGGGTGTGACAGTTAGTGGGCACGGGGTTTCTTTTCGGGGTGGTGGAAGTGTTCTAAAATCGAGACAGTGGTTGCACAGCTGAGTGAAGTAAAATCCATCGAACTGCACACTTGACATGGGTGAATTTCATGGTATGTGAGTTATCTCAAGCTGCTAGAAAATAAAATACAAGACACCCTGTGAAATTTGAATCTCAGATAAAACTTCCTGTTTTAGAGTGACACCACCTAAATACATGTTTCTGGATAGTCCGGTTTTTGTGGGTTTCTTTCTCTTTTTGGTTATATAAATGACGTCACACGTCGATTCTTTTCCTTAACAGTCGGCCTGTGGTGCATCTGGGTCACCATCACAGAGTGCGGTTGTGCGCTCGCGTCACCATTTGTCCGTGGGCTCCTTGGACGATGCACACACAGGCCACTCCCAGCCCTTGCCCTTCTGAACAGTGCTGCCACCAACTTGCTTTTCTGCCTGAGGCCTGAGCACGCCCCTCTCCTGAGTTCATCCCCAGGAGCCGAATCACTGGCCACAGGGACAGTGTCCACCTCCCTAAGGAAAGAGGGCTTTCGCTCCCACAGCAGTGCCCAGCGCTTCTCTCTCCATCTCCTCGCATCTTGTTAGGGTCAGGTCCTTAATTCCCATTCCATCTGGTGCAAGTTGTGGGGGATATCCTGGCTTTAATTTGATTACTCATGAAGTTGAGAAATGTTTCGTCCATGTGTGTATACATGAAAAAAAAAACAACTCAGTTGCTGTAGAGCCACTGCTGACTCATGGCAACCACGTAAGTAATACGCTATTTTGACTAATTATCACGTTCCCATTCTAGCTTTGTATACACTTTTGTGTTGTCTTTTTTTGTTGTTCCTGTTGAGTTGTACAAGTTCTTTGTCTCATCTGGATGGGAGCCTGCGGTGTAGTAAATTACTTAGTGTGGCTTTTCTACCCATAAGCCTTTGTAAACTCCAAGGTGGGATTTTGTATGAGCAACTGAGCAGCCCCTGATTGCTGAGGCTATCCACCTGGGTTATTTCTGTTGGGAGTGGCACAATACAATGTTCTGGGAGGTGCCCACTCTCTCTCACGTGCTTAGAGTTCTGATGCTGTGATTGGCTAGTTTGACCACCCTTCCGGGCTCAAAAGGAGGCCTCCTGGAGGCAGAACTCTCTCTGACTGCTGGTGGAGGAAGACGTGCTGCCGAAAGAGACACGCAACCCTGAAAGAGACACGTGCTGCTGGGAAAGAGCCGCAAGAGACACGCATCGCTGAGTGAGACACCGAGGGACCGGCACTGCTGGGAAAGAGACTGTGAGAGACTCTTGGCTGAGGGACGGTGGGCTGGGAGAGAAACTGAGCATTTTTCTTGAACTTGAGTTGTAGCTTGGTGCTTCCCTAATAAACCTTGTAATCTGTGAGTTCTGTGTGGCCACTGCAGCGAATTATCGAACCCAGGAGAGAGGTGGTGGGTGCTCTGGGAGGAACGGTTGAAGAAAGGGCTGGAGGAAGGCAACATGTCTGGCCTGGCAGGAATAGGCCTTGGGTTACTGCTGGTAATCCTGTCTTCCCCTTGTGGGATTAGAGGAGGTCAGAACATGTGGCCTCCTTGCCGTTTTTGCAGAGCCCTTCCTCGGCTATTTCTTGTAGGTATCTTCTGCCCCTCTGCCTACTTGCCTTTCCTCTTGATGCTATGTGGAGATGAACAGGTTACTTGATTTCAAGCAATAACTATACATTGGGATTACTAATGAATCTATTAATGTTTTCCTCTGTATAATGTTTAGTGACTTGTTGAATTTCCTTCCCTCATTTCTCATGTTTGTATTTTTAAAACATCTGTTTAAAATTTAAAGAATGAGGCACCAGTAAGAGCAGACTGCCATAGGTCTTGTCTTTCTAGAATTCAGATGCATAGTTCCTTTCTCTAATGCCATGTCTTCCAGTCCTCTGGGCCTGGCACGTGGCTGGCCCTGGACTGAGCTGCCTGCAGGAGGCCCATTACGCAAGAGCCTCTGCAGTTTGGGAGCTGAGGAACCAACAGGTATGGAAGGCAAATCCTAAGGCCTAAAGTCATTGAGAAGAGACTTCTGGAGAGGAGGCTGAAAAACTTACAGGAGAGGCCTCGCTGCTCAGAAAACCCAACAGGGGACTTCGGGAAAGCAGAACCGGGGAAAGGGAGGCATTTGTTTGCGGGGCATGAGTTCATGCTAATGGTGGTGGGATATTTTAGAAAAGGATAGCAATCATGGTGGCACAACATGAAAAACGTCATCAACGTCCCTGAGACGTAAATGTGGACATTATTACGTTAGCGAATGTCTTCGTGTGTAGGGTTTTACCGCCATAAAAGTAAGTAGCAGAAAACATGGGTAATATGGGTGGATAGATGGGTGGACAGGCTGAACTAGTAGGTATGTCTGTGAAGTGGGCAGTGTACCCAAGAACATGTATAGGGTTGGCAGATAAGGGTCCTATAAGTTTATGTGTATGATCTGAATTCCAGGTGTATAGTAGAGCTGACAAGGAGCTCTGGTAGCGTAGTGCCTAAGGCACTTGACTGCTAACCAGGAGGCTGGCGGTTCAAACCCACCAGCCACTCCTTGGAAGGAAGATGGGCCAATCTAGTTCCGTAGTGATACTGCCTCATAAACCCAAGGAGGGGTCGCTATGAGTCCGACTCGACGGCACATAACAACAAGAGTAGAGCTGACAAGGGGCAAGGTTGTAGTCACTGCTTGGTCACAGCCAGCAACCCAGAGGGAGCGAGAAGTTGAACCTGTGGGCTCAGGACCATGGTCGTAGGGGACATCAAGCTCAATTGGCATAACATACTACACAAAACATTGTTCCACCTCCTACTTTGGTGGCGAGTAGAGACTAGGATCTTAAAAGCTTGCAAGCTGCCATCTAGATGCAACAATGGGACTCTCCTCGTGCAGAACAAAGAAGAATGAAGAAAACAAAAAATTCATGGAAACAATGAGTCCTAGCGACTGGTACACCATCGGATCTGCAGCCTATACGACTATGAGACCAGAAGAACTAGATGGTGCCCAACTACCACTGTCAAACACTTGGAAGGGGAT